AAAAAAACACACAACGCCACTCCCCCCCCGCCCCCCCCCCCCCTCTCTCTCTCTCTCTCTCTCGCACACACACATAAACAGAGAGACGCAGACCCTATTGAAAAAACGCCTTCTCACTTCACTACCTGCCTGTCGTTTTTGTACATCGAAAAAGAAACGGAAGTCACTTCTCTCTATAAAATCTCTCTTTCTAATTGGGTTTGCTGAGCTGAGGCATGGTTGCCGGCCAAATCTAGAGTAGCCCATTTCATGGTTGTCTACCATTTGAAGGAAATCTTCTTCTTTTGGGCAGAGCCCTTCCCGTTTTAGCTGGTGCTTTGATTAAGGAGGTTTGGTCGGTGAAAGATAAATTCTTTGGCTCATTTATTTTTTAACTGGTGTCAATATTGAGTCCCTGAACAAATCTAAGCAAACCCATTTGGTCAGTGACAGTGGAAGAGGCTTCAAATTAAAGGTGTGTGCTTGATGGATTTCGTTTTCGGAAATAATTTTTCTGCTTTTGCTTTTGTGAAAAAAACTTGGTTTTTATGCTTTCACTGATCTGTTTGTGTCACCAATGTTAGGTGTAAGTTTGGTTTGTTGATGTATTGCTATCTAGTTTATGGGGTTTTGATGTTTGATTGATTGGTATCCATGGACTAATCGCTCTTCATCTAACATTTTTTTTTTTAATTTCAATCACAAATCTCTCTTAGGGTTTGATGTCAATACAATGATGTTTTCTTATACGAAAAGCTATTTTGTCTGGAAAAAAACAGAAGTTTCATTGATGTAAGAAGTCTGATTAAACAGAAGTTCATTTTTTCCATAATCATTTTGGTGTTGTTTGTTTCATGGCTTTTTTGTTCCAAATGTAGTTGGATGTGGGCAGTAAAGTTTTGGAATTAGTCTTGGCCATTTGATGCTGAGAGAAGTATTCATTTTTTTGATACCTTCACCTTCTGGGTATGCATTTTAATTTGATACCATTTTCCTTCTGGGTTTGCATCATTTGGTGCAATCTCCTATGCCTTTGCTTAGTTGTGTAATTTTTTCATTTTGGTACGAAATGAAATTTCTGACATTTACAAGATTTTGTTGCGCTACGTATATCATATCTGTAATTTGGAGGTGCGTTATTTTCGTAATTGAATCTCCAATATTCAATCACCTAGACTGTCTGAACTTTGAAGTTGTTATCATTTCTGGCTGCATTTTTTTTGGTCTGCTTGAAGGTTTCCCACATGGATATCGGTCTGGCTATCCCTGATATAAATCTCTGCCATGGGAATAAGGAATAATATCTTGGAAGGTGGATAGATTTTGTTTGTGTTTTTGTTTTCTCCTTTTGGCTTATAACTATTCATTGACGGGGTTGTGGCTAAAATCTGAGATCTACATGTTGATTTCTGCTTTTGTTAGCCTTTCGATTAGTCCGAAGCATGTTTCATTTCTCTTCTGTAATTATGTAACTTTTAAATTATTAGACACATAGACAGCAGTACTGTCTGCTGATTATAGTGTCTTTAATCTGTCAATCCTAATTAGGACTTACTACACCTAACATCTGGAATTGATATGCCATCCCGATTCATCAATTTTGATGTGATCTCAGGCTCTGACTTGTATTGGTTTTTAGACCACAGGTTTCATATTTCATACCTTGTCAGGTGATGCTAATCTCATTATCCGTAACTCATGTAGTGGCAAGAGGCTCTAATCTCATCAAACATAATTTCATGTGGTACAATATATTGATAAGATTTTGTGCATTAAATTTGTGTGTACAGGTTTTTCTGTTTACTCTTCTTGATCATGGAGGGAGAAACATCATGGTTTAGCCATTCCCTTGATGACATGGCAAGAGAGATTGGGGAGTTTGATTCTTTCTCAGAGCTCAGTGACGAAGGGAATAAAGAAGCTACTGCAGTTTCGGTGGATTTGATTCTTCCCGATGACCTGTTGGAACGGATATTAGCCTATCTACCAGTTGCAAGCATTTTCAGGGCACGTTGTGTGTGCAAAAGATGGAATGAGATTGTTAGTTCAAAAAGGTTTCTATGGAACTTTTCACGTGTGCTATCACAAAAACCTTGGTATTTTATGTTTACCAGCTCTAATGAACCAACTGGTTATGCATATGATCCTATCCTTAGAAAGTGGTATGGCATTGAACTCCCCTGCATTGAGACATCTAATTGGTTTATTGCTTCATCATGTGGTTTGGTTTGCTTTATGGACAATGATAGTAGAACTGAGTTATATGTCTGCAACCCTATTACCAAATCATGCATGAAGCTTCAGGACCCTGGCTTGAGATTTTCTGATTACAGTGCACTTGCAGTTTCTGTTAACAGGAAGTCACATGGTTATACTATCTCAATTGTGAAATCTAAGCAAGTTACTGGGAATTTTTTCCAATGGGATGTCTCCGTTCATATTTATGATTCAGAAACAATGATGTGGGTGACCTCTTTGAAAGAGGTTCTGACAGGATGGAGAGGTGGGGATGAGAGTGTTATCTGTGATGGGGTTTTGTACTTCTTAATTTACTCAACTGGGGGCGGGTCACCAGAAAATCGTCATGGTCTAATCACATATAATCTCTCTTCTTGTTCTCCTCATGGGTTGATAAGGAGTTTTATTCCTGTACCTTGCCCTCTTACATGTGGCCGTCTGATGAACTTGAAGGAGAAGCTGGTTATGGTGGGAGGGATTGGTAAACAGGATCGGCCTGACATAATTAAGGGGATTGGTATCTGGGTTCTAAATGGGAAGGCCTGGCAAGAGATTGCGAGAATGCCGCATAAGTTTTTCCAAGGATTTGGGGAGTTTGATGATGTTTTCGCCAGTAGCGGCACAGATGATCTTATATACATCCAGAGCTATGGAGCTCCAGCTCTTCTTGTCTTTGACATGAGCCAGAGACATTGGAGATGGTCACAGAAGTGCCCGGTAACAAAGAGGTTTCCACTTCAGCTCTTTACTGGTTTTTGTTTTGAACCGAGGCTTGAAATTTCTCCCTGATATGTTTCCTTGTGGATTGATATGATGTGGTGGTGCAAATTGTTTTGCCTGAAATCCCTGTGTTTCACCTTTGTTTTGTTTTCCCATTAGTTTGAGTTACAACATCTGTGTTCTAAAAGTCGTATAATGTACCTGCAGATAAGCTGCTCGTTATTCATGGTCATGGGTATATTATTCTTTGCATTGGAAATGCCACTCTGGTAAATACAATCATGAGTTCCTGACATGTACTCCTATTCACATTAAATCTATGTGCTTGCATTTCTTTCTGCTACAATCATGACATGTAAGGAACTTGGTTTTACCACAAAAAGCAGACAAACTCCTTATCATGCTCTTTAGATTTTAACTCTTGCATCTCTATGCGACACTCTGTTACACATATAACGACGAGGTACACTACAGTTAGTCGCCTACCGACGCGTGAGATAGTCTTGATTATTGATACATGATTTCACCTTCGTGCGTAGTGGACGACTGATACTTGCAAGATTCATATAACCATTAGGGGCACTTTGATTTCTAGGGGCCATGGTTTTGGAGATGTTTTCCTAGCAAGAGGTCATTGATAATTTTTTGGCAATGAGCCAATAACCAAGCTTTCAAGCATCATATCTTTCAACAAAACCATGTGTTTTCCACGTAAAATAATTAAGAATTTAATGTGGTATTTTGCCCTTTAAAAAGTGGGAGTTACAGGTAAGCCAGCTTTGCCTTGCGTGGGTTGGTTGAGAAGTGACGAAGATGAACACTTTGGTTTAGTGGAGGTAGATTTTGTTTGGTGGAGATGTGACGATGGAAGATTGTGATTTTATGATTTCTAATGCTGCTTTTGTCCAAATGGACATTGCCTTGTGGCCCAAAGGCTTGTGCCCACTACCAAATATAAAAACCTGCAAATTAATCTTATTCAAATCCCTTGGCTTTTCAATGAATCTGATTTTAGAGATTTGGAATTCAGTGGCTAGAATCTCCCCATATTTTTTATTTTTAAAAAAAAAATATTTATGTTTTAAAGACATCTCCATCTTCATAGCTGTATGTTTTGTATGTTTCTATTTTAATCACCCATTGAAATTTAATTTCACAATGTATATAATTCACTGTATGATAATGATATTTGTTCAAATAGAAGAGAGGACAAGTTCAAAACATTAGGATCAAAAACACCCAATGAGATAATTACAAACAATAAGCCAATAGGGTGGCACCCATCATCTCTTTTTGTTAAATATGTCCAATGGTCCATTCATGGGATGACAAGAATTCTCTATGAATTATAATAAAAACACATTACAAGTAGGGTAATATTTTAAGAACATATATATAACTGAATTTTCTTTAAGTAAAAAAGGTTGGCAATTCATTGTCTAGCCTTTTGACAGTTTAATTTTATTTATTTTTTAAAAAACCTCGACGGTACGAGGGAAGTTTTTGGCAATTTAAGCATACAATTCAAACACAAATTATCTTCTAGATGAAGGGTTACTAGTCAATACTTGTAGTATGTTGAACCTAAACTATTTTTTGTAACTATTTTTTTACCTACATTTAGAAAAGTGGGAAGACAAGAATCCACCTTTTCACTGTAGGAGGATAAATGTTTTACCACTGAAACTAGATTCCTAACAATTTTGTAAAAGAACTAACCAATCGGATTAACATAGCAATCAAACCTTATAACTTGTATTGAGTTGGAAACTTAGGACATATTGAATATGATTTGACAAAGATGGACATCCAATAAACATTTTCAACATATCAAAAGCAAGGCCAAAATTGTCAAATTAATATATAAAAAATTACCGCTAAGGGGTACGTCCGTTCCAGACGCGAAACTTTGCTGGCATTAATATTTCAGAAACGGCATTTCCGTTAAGATGATCCTCGCGCGCGTAAAAGGGCAATGGTTTTTGGTTCAGTAAACAGTCCGGTGGGCAATCCTCTCCGCCTCTCTGTCATAACAATGACAACAACTACTAAAGCTGAAATTTTAGAACTGATGATGATGATGCAGCAGAAGCCAAGAAGTTCGATGAAAAACCAAACCCCCTTCTTCTCTCATTTGCCTCGGAAATTCTTGGAATTCCAAAAAGGGATTTCTTCTGACAAAGGTAAATCTTTGCATACTCAATG